CAGCAACTTCTGCAGTGTCTGATCAGAGTGGACATAAAAGATGGAAGAGGTTGTTAGACACAAAACCTATAAACTGCATTAGCACTGGTGAAATGTCACATTCAGTTCATGCAGTTCAGTCAATGTATTAAAAAAAAAGAAGAGAAGCAGAACTCGTTATACTGTGAAACGTTGGGCCGGCTCAACACACCTTGAACTGAGTTAACAAGTAGTACTAGTTACAATTGTATTTTCCTGAAATGATGGGAATCAAAGCCTTGGTATTTCTACTCCTAGCATTTCCATGTAAAAGCTACATGTGCAGGGTTTAGGGCACAGGCCTGATCCCCACTGATTGAAAAGCAGCCCTCATCTGGAGGTGCGATCAGATCAGAGTCTGACTGAAGCCTGTGGATTTTCTCTGGTGGTAGGCTCACCTGAAATGTAGCTTCTACAGCCGGCATCGCTCCGCCCGTCACATCTAGTTTTGCTGCAATTATGAACCTCACTGCGTTGAGTTGTTCTCTTCGTGGCCACGTGGGAGATCAGCAAATGAGAGCAAAATATAAGTTTGTTCCTCATGCACGTCCGCAGCCACTTCCCACACACTTCCATCACCTCCCCCACTCAATCTCGTTGTGCTGGCAAATTAAAATTCATGGGTTGCCAAGCCATCCATTCTCCCTCCACTGCTTAATTGTCTCGAAAATTGAGGAGATTACCACCCGCGATTTATGTACAAATAAGAATCTGTCAGAAACCTGGCAGTGTATAGCATGACACACACTCACACACAAGTGGACTTGAGGATTTAGGAGCTGTAGGCAATGGCCAGCATGGGATACCTCATACCCCAACCTCTATCCTTTTCAAGTCCCAGTCTATGTACATTTCTCTGAATGACGCAAGTGACTTCAGAGGGCAAAATAAAATAAAAAATGAAGAGCAGACTGAAAATCATGCATGATCACTGGATGTTTTTCAGTACTGGTGGTCAGCATCCTCTTTGTCTCTGATTACCATTGCTGCACACTGAGCATCATGGTTCAGTTAACCACTGTTAATTAAACTCTTCGGCCACAATCACTCTCTTTATCTATGCATGATGACTGGTCCGAGGTTATGCTGTAATGTACTCTTGTTCAGTCAGCTCACACTTGTTGTTGATGTAATCCAAAGTGACTCTGGATTGCAGGAATTGCAGTCAGCTCCATTCTCAGTTCAGGGATGGTGATGAATTAAGGGGTGAGAGGTTGTGTCTTTGGCATTCAGGATAACAAGAAAACAAGGTGAGAGAGTAGGGGAGAGGACGATGCAGTAAATGGTCAGTCAGGAGTTGAACAGGGACCAGCTGCTTAAAGCAGGTGCAACCATGTGTTATGCACCTGCTTAGAATATAGCACAAGATGTTGAATATCCCTCGTATATTTGAAGGTCTTCTGCACAATTTAAGTTACCAACTGCTTAATGCCTACTGCCCACTGATGTTAGCAGATGTTAGGGACCTATCTTCAATTGTGAACCTTAGCGTCATCAGGTGTTTCGCTCTATTAATCACAAGAATCAAAACACCGATCTAAATTGTCTGTACATGTTATTGTGAGAGTGAATGGTTGTATCCCCACCCCTCAAAGGAAAAGAGGTATAATTATGGATGGATGGACTTTTTATTTGTCATCTATCGTAATATTATCAACATTTGGTCATTGTTGTGTCACTGAGAGGGGAAGTTTGGTGTATTTGTATTGTCACATGAGTTCATAAATACCAGTAAGTGCCATATTGAGTTCATTTTTCTGTTAAAAGTGCCAGTTAAAAGATTCATACAAGCAAACATGAGCAACAGTTAACTGTCAATTACTGGCTACTTGAACACTTAACATGCTGTGCACTTCACCAGATGACACATTTTGTTCAGACAGTCAAACTAATAAAAACACACGCAGAAAACAAAGAAGCACAGAAAAGGTCTTTGTCTGAAGTTAAGATTTTTCACTGCTTCTCATCTCCCATTGTATCAACGTCTCGAAGAACTGATGGAACCTGCTGTCGGTTAATCATCTCACCGCTGCACATCTCTGACAGCTGCTCTTTGTTGGAAGCCTGTGGCATATTGTAACACGATCTTTGTCCATCCCTCCAGTGAGTCACACTGGATAATGAAGTGGAATGAGACAGCGACGTAGTTTGATTATAAGGTCGTAATTTATCAGTCGTGTCTGCAGACTGAATCTTCTACTATGATGAAGCCCAGTCCAGTCCCATCAAGTTCTCCATCCTGAACAACCATAAAGCTTGCCTGTACCCACCCTCCGATACCACCCATCTCCTGAAATAGTGCCAGTATGGCAGCAGATGTACTGAACATTCGTCATCAGCAGTTTACCGTGTGACAATCCCACCTCGTCTCATCCTTTTCTTTTGTCATATTACTAATGCTGCTAGAGGTCACCTCACAAAAAAACATAATTATGGATCATTATAAGATGATTGCACAGAAAACCTGTGGATCCCTCCATTACTCATCGTAAATGCATGCAGTTCTTAGGAAGAGGGGTTCTAGGTGGGTGTAAAACCCAAACATCCACACCACCTCCTCGCCTCATTCCTCCCAGTGCTGTCATTGACAGTCAGGCCTTTGTTTTACCTAAATATATGGATTCATTTGGGAATGGAGAAGGAAAATATTTGATAGGGCTTTGGACAATCACTCCCTTTTTATTTACGAAATCAAACAAAATCTGTTTGTGCTCTGTTGTATCTCTTTCCAGATTCCCTGCCAGCTTGACGTGGATAATCTTTTCTTGGTTCTGCTATGAACCTTTATTCCAACTCCCCATTACATGTACAAACACACACACACACACACACACACACACACACATGCAATTATATCTACATGAGTTGCATGTCTGTAGCGGTGCAAGTTTTTTGTGAAAGCACCCAAGTGTGTGCTGGAACCACATGTTCAAAATGAGGTGGAATTATTACAGTTTTACATAAGTAATCTCACCTCTTAGAATGTCGCCACTCAACCTCACGTACCCCCACGTCCTCCTCAGCTCTCCTCCTCAGCTCTCCTCCTCAACTCTCCTCCTCA